TTGACTCAAAGAGAAAGGATGGGAAACATCTCACGCTTCATGAGGTAAAAGCCCACGTTTTTCTTTGTATGTATGTGGTGTGTTTTGCTTCTTAGAGGTAAGTTTGGAAATATTTTGCAGCAAAGGAGATGCGTGCCCTGAAAACAGTACTAAACACCTCTAGGTATTAGCAAAATATTAACTCTTTCATGAAAATAGACCATATTTTTTGTGTTAGGGTGTTTTTGTGTTGAACTCAAATGTGCTGAGCATTGGAGCTACAGTGTAGGGTGACTTGGAAAAGTGTCAGAATTTAAGCAGTGAAAGCATAAAGTCTTTGCACTTAAAGGCAGTTTGTTTTTTAATTAAGAAATAAAATAGGATTTTCAATTATAACCATTCATTTAAAGGGCATTTGGGGCGCCTGCGTGGCTCAGTCAGTTAAGCATCTGACTTTTGATTTCGGCTCAGGTCATGATCTCAGGGTCATGAGATCGAGCCCTGCATAGGGCTCCACGCTGGGCCTGGAGCCTGCTTAAGATGTCTCTGCCCCTCCCCTCTGTCTTTTAAATAAATAGGTAGATAGATCAATAGATAGCATTTTTGTAGATTTTAGAAAAAAAATGTGTAAGAAAATGACCAGAACTCAAAAGTAATTTTCAGCTAGCCTAGACAATAAAATTATATTAGATGAATGTTGTAAGTATTATTATGGGTTTGAAAATTGTTTTGGTTTGACATTTGGCATTAAAATTCTCATCATTGTATATTTGTAGCACTCTATCCAGAAATATTCTCCTTGAGTAGAAGAATGCATACATACCTCTTTTGCATGTATTCCCTTTTTCTTCTAGTCCATCTGGTCAGTGCATCATTTTTACCATGGAGCGCAAGTATAAGCTTAAGTCTGTTCTGATATGTTTTCCCACAAGTAGAATGACCTTCCCTTTCCTTTCCATTTTTACCCTACATACACTACTGTCATAGTAACTTCAACATTTTATTGTACTTATTTGTAGACTAATCTGTTCCTCACAGTATACTTTGGTTTTCTTCAAGGCAGAGATAATGTCTCATTCATTTTTATATCCTCAGAGTCTAACACCACTATACATGCTTGGCAAATAAATGCATTTTCAAAGTTAAAAAGGCTATTTTATTTTAATTAATTTATTTTTTAAAATTTTATTATGTTAGTCACCATACATTACATCATTAGTTTTTGATGTAGTGTTCCATGATTCATTGTTTGCATATAACATCCAGTGCTCCATGCAGTACATGCCGCCGCCGCGCTCTCTGTGGCCGAGTGTGTGGAGCGGATGGCCCCCACGCTGCCGAAAAGTGACTTGCATGAAGTGAAAGAGCTGCTAAACACCAACAAGAAGTTGGCCAAAATGATTGGTCACATCTTTGAGATGAGTGATGATGATCCACACAAAGAGGAGGAAATTCGAAAATACAGTGCAAT